CACGTCATACGTGCAATTTATACATGTACCACCGTATAATATTATGTATAAAGAATTTGTTAAACAATGTTATCTGTACGTATCGGCTCCGGTGCTAGTTGTGTGCCTCATACGAATACGACAAAAAACGCTGATAAGCTCCGAGATCTAACAATAATAACACGAATATAATGTCGTGAATTAACGTGAATACTTTGCGATTCCAAACAGTGCGTTCACGTTCACACACCATGAATCATACTCGACACTCGATTCGCGGTTTGGGGGATCATGCCTCCCCCCTGGAAAAGGGCACCCGAAACGGCGGTAAAAAACACGTTTTCCGGGGAGGAAAATCATTCGACGTTCATGCGTCCACGTGTACACAAAATATAAGTCAAAATTGAACACACACATCACAGCATTGCGTTTTTGAGTACCCGAAGTTCGCGGGCCCTTTGATGTCTGTTCCGCACTAGAGCACCGGGTGGGTATTATTATTCTGTGTAGGCATGCCGTCTGCCCGTCGGGACGCCGATGACAATAATAATATTTTTAAAAAAACATAAGCAAACCAGTTTCGTCGTCATTTATATTGTTCGCCGTCTAGCGACTAGCGATGAGTACTCGACATTATATATTATGCTACATAAGCAGGTAAGTAGGTACGTGAGCTGAACAAAAAAAAATCAGTGTGCCTAATAATATTATACCGATTATCATCTACTGCTTACAGACCTGAGTATAGACGAACGAATAATGAGGGTAATATTATATGCGATTTGGTGGCGGCGCGGTGAGGTTATCGGAAAACGCGAAAAGGGAGAAAACCCCTGTAACGACATTATATCATAATGGCTATAGATCGTAACACACGACTTTTAATTATTATTATTATTATTATTGCCGTGCTCGTGTAATATGAACGGAAGTAGAATTAATAGCAAGGCCGCTGCTCTACATATATATCACTGGTTTTTGAGATTGCGAAACGACTTCTACATGACGTATACACCCACCTATACGTACAGGTTTGGCGCGCGAAAATCTTTTCTCTCCGATTAATTATAATATTATACTCTTTTTCACAATTATCTCGAAACGAAACGCCTTTACACTTTACAGAATAATAATATAATATGCCCCATTGGCCATTACGCACACGCTCGCCTCGCGCACAGTTCTCACCGAGAATAATATAATTTTAATATAATATATACGGCACATATATTATTGTATATACTTATTACTTGGTACATAATACGAGTTACAACAATGGCGGTGGTCGGTCGGACGGGACAATCGGTCACGATTTCGTTGTCGAGTATACATGATATACAATGTATGTAATGTACGTACGTATATATTATGCGTATGGATATATGCGATGTTTAATGTATTTTCTAAGTACGACTTTCAGAATTATTTTGGCACAAACGGGTGTTGTAAATAATTTTGCACTGTGTGTGTGCGTACTGCAGTCATATACGCTATATACACCGTCGCACACCGCCCACATTTATCGTGCCTTTAAATTTTTATGTAATACTATTATACACATATACATATTATAATATGTACATGCATTTCGAGGCGTGCTATAGAAACAATATCATCGTCGTTGTTGATATTATTGGCAATGCGCAGCAATCGATACGGCGTGTCTGCACATCTTGTCCGAAACTTGGTGCCGAAAATGACGACGATGATGATAATAATAATAATAATAATAACAATAATTTAATGTATTATATTATATACATGTGTGTGCGAGTGATTAACTGCGCTCATACTATATATATACCATACGACACATGTATAATAGAGCCTGTATTGCATTATACGAGACTACTGTTCACGGAGTGGGTGCAGTGCGCGCGATCTGGTCGGAAGGGTAATGGATTGGTGCGGGTGGTGCAGGGTAGGTGGGTCGATCGGAGCGGAGAAAACGAAAAAAAAGTTTTCAAAAGGATGCGACTTGGCACGGACGTTCGTCTGCGGCGTATGTAATGGCCAATATCCGATACGTACATTTTAAAAGTCGTAAATTCGAGTCGCATATGCGCGTCTATGCCTGGCTATACAATATAATATGTAATCCGTGAGCACTCACTCACACGCGGCCCAGCGTCACACTCGAGCAGACTCGTATATGTGTAAACGAAATCACTTCTCTCTCTCTCTCTCTCTCTCTCTCTCTCTCTCTCCCTTACTCTCTCGCTCTCCTTCTCTCCCTCTCTCGCTGCGAATGTGTCGTGTACGCTCGTATGATATAATATATATATATATAACACGAACCCGTCGACGAGGGGACGTCCCTTTTTCATTTCCTATAGCCACTTTACTATCCCATTACTCGCGGTATATACACGCGTATAGGTATATATCTATGCATAAATATTATTATGTAGGTCAGAAGCGGTTTTGTCGCACTCCCCCGAACGTAACATACAGGACGACGACGACGACGACGTTCTTTTCAGTTTTTTTTTTCCTAAGGGTCGAATGTATATTATAATACGTGACGTACACGACGTGCCGGTCAAAACATTGTAAGTGTGTTAGTGTGTGTGTGTGTGTGTGTGTGTGTGTGCAGCGGGTATCGCGTGTGAACGACGAGCGGTGTAGTTCGCTGCGATACGCCGCCCGCTCGAAATATATATTATATTATACAAGTACACCTATACCAGCCATAATGCACTCCTGCTGCAGACGGCATATTATAATAATATAACATTGTCTCCACACCCACTCGTTTTCCGCTCTACACGAGCACGGGCTCGCGTAGTATATATTATTATAATAGGCCCTGCCGCGACACATATATGCATTTATTATGATAAAAAAAAATACTTTTTCACCGACGCCCCGCAGTGAATACGAAATTACGGTTAAAAGCCGTAATAATAATAATAATACCCTTCGGCGTGGACGTATACATCTATAATATATTACGTATATTATATTGTATAGGTGAGTACGATTCCGTACACGCGTCGTATATAAACATATTATATGGAAATAGAATAAACCTAAGCTCTGAAACGCGGCTAACCTCTGTTACACACACGCCGCCCAATAGATCATTATATTGTGAATAAACGGAAACTTCGATTTTCTTTATACCAACCCTGACGCCAACAGAAAAAAATATCATAAAATCACAGGCTCGCACCCTTTTCAACCCTTCTTCACGACGTTTCGAAATCGTCGTTCCAGTGGTTCTCTTTTCTGTACATTAGAACATTATACAAGTATACGCATAAACCTACTGTAATAATATGGTAATAATATTGAATAGGTATTATGCGTACAATACCTAATAATATATTATGTCCCGATGACCTCTGCAGTGCCCATATACTCGCGACCCCTAGACCGATTGCTGCAGTCATTTTTTTTTCCACTATTATCACTATTATTATCCAACGTCCCTTTGTCGATACATAGCGTGCATCGGGGGGAATGCCACATGTCATATACATCAGGCATCGAAAATACGATTATTCGATTCTATATATATCGTATATATTATGGCATGCACACTGCACGCACATCATGCCTATACATAATATATATATTATACACCATAATATATAATGTACGGGCATTGTGTATATTTATTATATATGTAGGTACACCTACTAGCCGCAGTACCTATACGTATGATGCGTATCGTAAATCATATATATATACATCAAGAGGATAAAAATCGAATGAAAGGAATAGAACCGCCGCCGCCGCCGCCGTTTCTTTCGGTTCTATTAATCAACGAGAAAATAAAATCTAACCCTCTATCCTACAGCTATATATTAATAATAATAATAATGATAATGGTATACAACTTAGAGTCCTACTACCATATACGTACCTATGTATACTGTATACTATTATATTGTTGTGTTTCGACGATATCGCGGATACTATGTATAATGTAATTTAACAATATTATACCTTGTAATATTTAGGCAAGTAAAACATGTACAAATACTGCATTTTATACTTGTACAAATGATACCCTGAAATAAAATATTATGTGGTATTGTGAGATAGATATTTTAATAAAAAAAAAAACGCTGCGGCAGTCACGTGACGTGCGTGAGTTGGTCACGTGGCTGAATTTCACGTGCACACAGCACACACGTGTTTTGTAAAACAGTTTCAAAAATATTAACTCCGAGGGTCGTGTAACTGGTACAACAGATTTTATTAAAAACTCAGAGGGAAACTGCGTATGTGTGTGAGATTACTGATTTAGGAGAATACGTCTTGTATTATTTTTGAGTGGCGAGAGAGATCGCCAGCTCCGTCGTATAAACCATCAAACCATCTCGATCTGTGCATTATATTATAACAATTCGAAAGCGATAACTATAATATTATAGTACTAAATTAATACGTTAGTTCTTATATTGTAGAAACGAGGAAAAAAATACCGAGGCGGACACGGCATAAATGAATCGACCAAAACAACAAATGGGATACCTACTTTTTAATATTAAATTTCGACCGCTTTGCCTACTATAGTAAGTTTTTTTTTTAATGTTCGCAATCTTCTTTTCTTTACCAACCGACAACCTAATAATAATCAAACAAAACAAAAAAAAATTATGACGATGGTTTAAATTTAAATGTGTAGTTAATAATTTTACACAAATAATAAATTCAACATGTTGATTCATTAGAAGGGCTGAACAAATTTTCTGCTAACAATTTTGTGTTTTTGGTAAAAAAAAAATATTTTTTAATTTGTATTTATAAACATATTATTTTAAATCGAGACGAATTTAGTGATACAGTATGCAGTGGTAACTCTGGACATGGCTAAGCTCGCATAATTCATAAATTATGAATAAAAAACTGTTCTTACCAAAAACATAACAATTGACTGAGAAAAATCAATGCGGATATTAAATTGCTTAATGGTAGTGATGGAAAAAATAGTTAAATGAAACACTTGGTATTTACTATTTTTAATATAATAATATTGTTACCCAATAAGAATGAAAAACAACGGTGGAGGTCATTTTTATCGGATCGAATTGTTGTCCATAACATACAAAACCGCAGAAAAATATACTGACAACAGTAATATTATTAAATCGCATGATCCGACGAACGATTTTCCTATCATATACAATTTATATGATATGACTTCGCGACTTAAACCGATTTTTTTTTTGTTTGGCGGTTATGACCTACATTTCAAAGCGTTTTTCTTCTTCTTTTGTTTACGCACTCCTCCGTGGACATTGGCATTCTGTCCTTATAAGAATTTTGCGCATCTTACGCGCTGTCTGCCTATCGTCACGATTTCCCGTGGTTTCCGATTTTCACTCTGAGAGTAAAATAATCCCTGTATCGACCAGAAGTAGTATAAAACTTTAAAATAATAATAATAATATCAATAATATGCTTAAAGTTTATGACTTACTTTTGACCCACGTATTTAATATAGACTGCAATTATTGATTCAAATATTATATTTTTAATTATTAATAGACGATATATAATGAAAAATGACTAATATTTAAGGACTTGTAGTTTTAGTAAATCTAACTAAATAAGTGATAAAAAAAAATAACGTTGCTGTTTAATTTGAATAAAAATATGGTCACCCACAGAGCGTTAAAAATATGAATTTTTCTCTAAATGGATACATTTTTGATTCATCCTGCAGATTTACTCTGCAATGTCCATTGGCCACATTATAAAAAAAAACTCTGATACAAATGATTATGGAAATTTGATGTGACTCTTATTTTTTTGGCGATAGGTACGCATACTAATTGATAATATTATGCAACTTAACATGATACACTGTGGTTCTACTTAGGTGTGTATTATAATATACATATTATAGGTCAAAGCTGGTTTTGGAAATTAAAACGATATATGTTTGGCTTTTGAAAATAGTTTTGGCATTCCTAGGCGTCTAGTCACACACTCACACCACCGCGATGAGCGACGCTTTAATTTATTACACGATAAAGTATACGTACGACAAAACCACTCGAATCACGGTTTTATTTTACTCGAGTCTTGGTATCCGTCCAACCGGCCGAAAGAGTGCTATTATAATATATTAAATGTATTACTTAGTCAACAAATACGCGTAAGTATTTGTATATATATACAATATTTTCTATATATATATCTACACTTTTTTTTATTATTTTTTTTTTTTTTTAAGATAGGTACGCGATTTGATTAATTTTCTACGATATTAATTTTTATCGTCAAATATTTACGTTTTAATACGGACGCCGCGCTGCATGACACAGCCATCGTTTCAAACCATCCGTCTTGTGTCCTAACTAAATAATAATAATAATAATAATATTACACCGAACCACTGCCGCCGTAGCTTCAGTGCCCTACAGACAAGGACCTGCAGCAGAAGTTGTAACCGTCTGGAATTCTTAACGAAATATCATATTTCTCTTCCGTCCGCTAAAAGCAAGTGATATTTAAACTAATATTTACATAAAATTGACGAGGTAGGTATTATAATATATTTGATTGCTGCACGTGATTATTTCTGTTTTTACGTTCGACAAAATAATAACATTTCCATTAACTAATTATTAAACACTCGGTGAGAAAATATATTTTAATTATGTTTTCGATTCAATCGAAACGGAAATCGTGAATTTAGTTACCCGTTATGATATCATAATATATAAGCCTGATGGTATATAATATATTACAAACAACGCTATCGAATATTATATTACGTGTAATAATAATAATTACCTACTTTCAAACATCACGAATTTAATTGATTCCTCCGAGTCTGGCAATCATATTTCTAGACGGCTTGCTTTTTAATGACTCAATACCTATATAATAATAATACGATAAATATCATAATAATAATTATGTTTCAGGAAAGATTATGCTATGAGTATTGTTTTTACGACGAACACACGATTTTTAATAAGTGGGTAGGTACGCGAATAATATTATTCAATAATGACGAGGATTTAAATGGTTTGAGTTTGACCGATTTTTTAGCTATCCCGTACACGAGAAAACCGTGAGGTTGAAATAGTTAAAGTTATAGCATATATTTTCATCCTATTTTATTCCGTATAAAAAATAAAACATGCATGTACAATATACGATGTACCACCCCTTCACCCGTCAAGTAGTTGAAGATAAAAACAAAAATGTCAGCATATAAAGGCCAAAAGGAACCAATTTAATAATCGAGCATTTATAATATTATCATAGTATTGGTATATGCAAAATTGTTATATGTGATATCCCGTTAAGAGCAGCCATTTCGTATCTGATGATAACAATCCGAGCCTACACATGTAATAATTTATATATTATATTTAAACCAAGCGGAAAACATAACATGTATTATATTGTATACATTATACAGTTGTTGCAGTTTGCAGAACCTCGCTAGTCCGGATCCCCGATGGTCCGGTGAACGCGATGTCCGGACCACACATTATAATGACGAAAGCCCACATTTCCGGAACACAACATAATAATTATTAACCTACGAAACGAGTTTATTTTCAACAATTTCGTTATTGGTACTCGGGAATGCTCGGCGCCCCTCGAGGAGTGTTGCATTGCACAAATGTTTTTCGTTTTTTTTAAATAGCTAGATGAGAACATTACTAAAAGAAATAGCACTGATTTTTGAATTTTTCTACTGTAATAAATACGTTTAATTAGCTTAAATATTTTATTACCACCCTTATTGAACACGTCTTGTGATGTTACATCCTATAATTCTTATTTTATTTGTTTTTATTTTTTTAATCCGTTATCAGAACAAAATGTCTTGGCAACACCGAGTATATTATACATCCTTGAAATAACAACCCGACAATAATCAAGAATTCGTTTGCAGGACTGTCAGGACTATCAAAGTTCTACAACTTTAGTATGTCATATTATATTGTATCATATTATTATTGTTATTATTATCGTACAAACGAATGGCGGATATCTAGCGTGTGCGATAGATACGCTAGGAAATAATAGCGTTTTTGTGTAAAATAAGTACTTACTTGTATAATAATACACATACCCGAGAGCAATTATCACAAAATAACGACACTAAAAACGCGTACCCGCCCGCAACCGATTCGGAGTAGGTATTATTATAGTAATAATAAAATATTTAATTACATGCCGTTGTTACATACTTAGCTGGGTACCGTTGTAGTGTGTCTGCTCACTGTTGTGTACATCATTATTACATACACGCCGAGTGACGACTATGCGTGGATTATACGTCATATGACATACGATAAAATATAATAATATTACAATGTGAATCGCAGCAGCGCTTTCAATGAACTTGTCACACTCGAAAAACCGTAGTAGGTATAGTAGCATTGTCTGATCACATGTAATATTATGTATTATAATATTTTTGCACAATTACGACTGCGCTGGCGTATTATCTTCGTCTGTATCCATTTTATGTAAATGTGTTTTATAAAAAAATACTTTATATCTGTGTGTGTGTGTGTGTGTGTGTGTGTAAAGTGTAAACAACGATATAGCTCCCCATTGCACTCTGCAACGATATAATAATAATAATAATAATAATAATAATAATAATAACAATATATACAGGTATATTATAATACGCGGGCTCGTTCTCTCATCTGTGTTCGGGAGAAAAAAAACCGCCGCCGCCGCCGCCGCCGCCGTACCTATGTAAATTTATCTTTGAATCTAGAATAAGGAATACTATACACAGTCGGCTAAACAAAATATTACTATCGTACGTTTGTGCAGCAGCTGCTCCTCGGTACCTATGTATAATAGTATTATGTTGTGTACGGTCGCAATACGCGGTGGTACTAATTTGCCGCGGGCGTAGGTACTCGAGGACCGCGTCGACTACCTATTATTATCATTATTGTTGTTGCTGACGAGTATATATACATATAGGTATATACCTAGGTACCTATTATATTATTTATATAATTATGCGAGCGCGGAGAACTACGGACTACGGTTTATGCGGTTGTGCCGCTGACGGAATGACAAATTGTGCACGTTTCGAGCTAAAAAAGTAAAACGAACGAAAACAATATGAGGATAGAGAAAATTAGGACGATTTTGGCTATCATCGGCTGACAATAATATATAATTTTTCAGATTAACCAGTACGATTGTTTTGAACGTTTACGAAAATATACCACAATACAATTATTGTGGGTTAGGTTAAGTTATATAAGTAGGTATCATTTGACGCGGAAACAGGCAATATTATAATAATATAATATAATGTTACTGTTATTACGATGACGCGAAATCTAAAAAGTATATTATAGGTATAGGCAAGTATACTGGTGAAATCGGTACGTTTATAAGTGGATTGATTCGTCACAAAGCCTTCGACTTCATTTGGCAATAATTTATAATATTATATACACCCCCCCCCCCAACCCCATAAGACGATGGCCGCGAATCGGATTTTGTAAAAAAATCATGATTCATGATGTTATACTATTACTACAGTATAGCTATTTATGTGTATCATATAATACGCAGTTATTACATAGCACAATAAGCATATTAAAATGCGTATGATATATTATTTCGTTTACCTGCAATGAGAAATTCGTATATTGTAATGACGAATAATTCATTTTTATTCAGTCGGAATAGAATTTTCGACTCGAACGCCATAGCAGTAATAAGCGGTCTCTTTATAATAATGTATAATGATTATAGTCTGCAAGTCGATGTCCTAAAAAAAAAAAACCAGGAAAACACCATTAAAAATGCATTTGTCAGCTAAAAATAAAACAAAACGCGCAACGTAATCGCGGAAACAGTGAAATTGCAGACGAATTATTTCGACAGTTTTTTATTTTGACAAATTACAAAATTATTTATTCAAATTTAAATTTTTGTTATTGCATACCTATCTATATATTTATACAATTTTTTGGTACGTAGCATTTAAAATTTAAAAATAACTATGCTCGGTGTTGTACAGTTTCGCAATTCCAAAATATTTATTACGGTGATATGATTGCTTATATTGTAATATATTTTAGTATATGCAGTTAAATGGCAATATCCGTTCTAATGTTTCAAGAAAACCCTACCGGACATACACACATCACATTCGGAACTATACAAAGCCGTGCCTGAAAAAAATTACCAATATTACCCCAAGAAAGTTAAGAGACCTCCATCAACTGACCCTGCAGAATATCACATTTACGCTCCCATACACTCACCTACAAAGACTTAAAACTCAGCTCCTATTTGCTTATACCACGCGGTGTCTTTCTCAAGCAGTCAAACACATCTGCACGGAATGCAGAATAAATGGCAAGGTGAGGATAAAATTCGATATCTCCAACTACCTAGCTGAAACAATTTAAGCCCAATGCCAAACGATGTCTCTAAACTCTTATTAATATAATGTTTCTTCTAATGACGCAAAGGACGAACTAAATATTAAAAAATAAATAAAAAATCCCTGCCCATGGACTTACGTGCATATATTGAATATAATAATTGCGACTTATTAAATATTCTAGAACTTTGTGCATAATATTTGGGACTCGTCAGGTTATAATATTGAAGTGTTCCTATATGTATAGTGCACTCAAACGTGTCCCAAAAAAAGTATTCAATTTTATTATTTTAAACATTTAGGAAATAAAAGGGGTACAAAGAGCACACGTCAACTTATAATACGCATATAATACATATACAAAATAATGTAAATATAATTCACCCACTCTGGAGAGTATCGAATATCAATATATTGAAAAAAAAAGATTCAAACCGTCGTACCTACATCTATAGTCGAACAAACCCGTTTGATACGATCCTCATCTATATACCATATAATACAGTTAGTATTAACCCACACATAATGTGCGTAGGTAATAGGTTTATACAAAATTGCTACCCTCTGCTCCTATAAAAAAACATTAAAAACTTTCAGTACTCACTCAAATACTATTATCACTCATCTTACAAGGTGGCTACTAGTTGCGTCCCGCCGTAAAAATTTCTTCCGAATTGCGGTCCCAGTTTTTATCTGAATATTATGCGTTATTATTTAAATGAATATTATGCTGTAATACAAGTCTTTTAAGTACAGCAATATCAATCAACATTATTTTATACATTTTTAAGGAAACGAAATTTATATCCATCGATTATAAATAAACTGCAATTTTTTTCACTCAAAATTTTATTCGACATTATAAATAAATTAAAATACACAGAAAAACGACGATACGTTCTACGCGGTAGTAAAGCGACGACTAAGGTGTACTTATTTTTGTCTACATTATACTATGTTTATATTTTATCAGTTAAGATTAAATTATCTAGAATTAAAAAACCCCGGGCCGCAACTAGTCCGTACCCAAAATAAACTCGGGCCGCGATTCGTATTAGACCTTTTTTCGTAGATATCTTCGTGACGCAAATAGAATGCACCCATATTACAACCAAACAAACTCCAGGTAACCCACCCGAGCGCCTTAAAAGGTACCTCCCTATACCTACTCTCTTCCGCAGGACAACGCCATTAGGCACCTATAAAAACGGTTTTCATGGGGTACTACCATTGGGCGACTTCGCTTTCCCGCCAATCAAATCTCATGAAATTTGCTTATTTGTATAACATGTAAAGACAGATCGTAAATATACGAAAAATTGTTTGAAAAAATATGTATGAATATATTAGTGCTAAAATTGAAACATGTTTTAACGTCGCTTAGCGCACATACCATCACGCGTTGCAATAAATATATAAACTCCGAAGAGGTGAAATAACGAGACGTAGGGTATTTTTCTCGTATAAATTATACACACGCACATCTTATACATCCTAATATTATATAATAACACCTGTGTGTAGGTATATATTTTAATATTATGTGCACGTTTCGTTTGTAGAATAATATAAATATCAAAGACTATATAATAATATGTGAGGTGTAAATTATAATCCTTCTCGAGGAGATGTGAGTAGGTATATATGACGTGGTGTGAGATATACGACTAATCGCCTCATCCGTGATCGTCTTTGTCGTCTCTCGACCACCCCTCAATACCCTACGCACGTCGCACCCCCAGCGTGGCACGTCCACCCCAGCTGAATAATATTATATGTGCGCGTGCTGCAAAACGTTATTGACGAGACCCACCCGCGCGCACCCACAAATATATATATATAATATATATATATATATATATATATATATATGTATATAATAACTCACCGGAAGGATGGTCATGACGTTTTTACATCCGTATATAATATCAGATAATAGCATGATATATAATAACGACGACGACGACAACGACCCAGTGAGCGGGCCCTGTGGAGACGATAGTTGTTTTTTTATTATTTAGACAATTCCTGGTTGAAATCTGAAAAATATAGTCATAAACACACTTTATAATAATAGTAATATGATATTATATAACATGCAGTAGGGATTACTTGGTACGGCATTTTAATAATTGTCAACAAACCACCGTTATGCACGCCAATTTATATGTATGTATGGTTTTATTCGCGATTTGAAAAATATATTTATTGATGTGTTTTTGGACCGTATATAATACAGAAAAGGAGCAATATTGACAAACCGGTGAGTATATGTGTTTTCGATTATAACCAATAATTTTTTTCTCATCACGTCCGCCCGAAATTTTATAATATTTGGCTGCACCGCACTACTTGCATGTTATATTACGGAAAGAAGATAATTCTCAACATTTATCTACAAGCCAACTGGGCAGTAACTTATATAATATGTATTATTGTGATGGCGTTTTCGATTTAAAAACATAATGGCGTGCGCACTGGACATTCCACAGCTGACATTACCGAGCGAGTGTAAAATGAAGGTCTGGTATACCAATTATATTGCTTAGGTATATTATAATAGTCTTATCAGTATACCTATACAGACATTTGTGACCATATCATTACAGCAATGTTATGCTAAGGAGTACAATGATAATGAAAAAAGTATATACGACGTCGAATTATCTCAACATATAATCAGCTGTTATTAGCATAATCGCGGTTCATTGCGACGGCCGACCACACAGCAGCTATAGTATCTATAATAATTACGTCGTTTACCAAAACAAATATGTTACGAAAACTAATGAAAACGGACGACATTCCCGCCGGACTCTGTACAATATATACTCAGTATGGATATAATTATTAATTAGTATAATATATATTATGTAAAGCGCCATAGGAGAGGAAAAACTTGGCCTTCCAGTTTTTTTTCGTTTTTTAATCTATATTTTGTCGAAAATGGCAATTGTAATGTGTGAGTCTACTACCATCTCCCTCGAGG